CCCCCCTGAAAAAATAACATCCATGTATGATTTCAATGACAATTTTTAAAAATGTTTTGGACTAAATTAGCCCAAAATATAAGCTCTTCTTGCTATACCTAGTCCACCTTATCTAATGCAAGATTGTTCGACAGAATTTGTTCAAAGGACAGCATTGTCTCTTAGAAGACAAGAAGACAGACATTAAAAAAATATAAAAAAGATACCAGTTTTGCTTATTTATTAAGCCTAACCGACTTTTTTTCCAGACCAGGCTTATGTCTGGTTTTCCCTGACAACGTTCACCAATCGGCTTATTTCGCTTCCTCACTCTTCATTTCTTGCTCCACTTGTTCGCTTGCTATCGCTCATTGAAAATGATTTAATTTGGAGCTCAGCAAAGCTGGGGGCGGTTATAATATTATCTCGTTTTTCGCATTCGTGGTGCTCACAAAACCCTTGAATCGTTACGATTTCTTTCAGTATCTCTGTCAAGAGAGGATCAGGATCGATAAGCAGCAATACGTAGTGTACTTCTTTTACTTTTAGCTCTGTTGTGTTAAAAGAACCGAAAATGACAAAATCGACATTTATAATTGTGAGTCGTCGTGGTGAAATCGGGCGCTCGTCAATTCATTGAAATCGGTATCTTTTTGGCGATGGGCATTTTTTTTTCATCCAATTTTCTCCTTTTTCTTTTTTTTTTTTTTTTACTCAACACCTTTTATGTCCATTTAAAAAGATATTTCTGCGTGGATTTTACTGGAAAAACATTGATGAAAGGCACCAAAAAAAAATAAACTTTCAGTTTTCAAGGACTCTCAGGCTGTGGAAGTTACCATTTTATCGATAATTTTACATCTGAAACCAGGGGACCCAGACCGCCTTTAATCGCAAATATCTCAACTTTAGTTCAACTTAGATCAATCAAATTTTAAAAAACCAAAAGTAGGGCTAATGAACAGTATTGAACAGGCTTTAAGATGATACCAATAACCCCTTATGCCCAAAAATTGACGAGCGCCTGATTTCACCTCGTCATAACACAATTGTTCGCCTTGTCTGATATTTCGATAGTTCCACCTTAGACATAGATTAATTTGCAAAACGAATAACTCGGTATCGATTTATTTTTCGTGCGCGTATGTGTGTGTGTGTGTGTGTGTGTGTGTGTGTGTGTGTGTGTGTGTGTGTGAGCGTGAGTGTGTGTGTATGTGTGTGTATGTGTGTGTGTGTATCTGTGTATGTGTGTGTGTGTGCGTGTGAGGGTGTATGTGTGTATGTATGTGTGTGTATGTGCACATGAGTGTGCGTGTGTGTGTGTGTGTGTGTGTGTGTATGTGTGTATGTGTGTGTTTGTATGTATGTGTGTGTTTGTGTGTGTATGTGTGTGTATCTGTGTGAGTATGTGTGTATATTTATGTATGTGTGTATGTGTGTGTATTTGTATGTGTGTGTGTGTATATATGTTAGTGTATGTGTATATGTGTGTATGTGTATGTGTGTGTATGCGTGTATGTGTGTGTATGCGTATGTGAGTGTATGTGTGTATGTGTGTGTGTTTGTGTGTATGTGTGTATGTATGTGTCTATGTGTATGTGTGTATGTATGTGTATGTGTGAGTATTTGTGTATGCGTATGTCTATGTGTGTGTATGTGAGTGTATGTGTGTATGTGTGTGCGTGTGTGGGTGTATGTGTGTATGTATGTGTGTATGTGCACACGCGTATGAGTGTGCGTGTGTTTGTATGTGTGTTTGTGTATGTGTGTATGTGTGCGTATGTATGTATGTGTGTGTTTGTGTGTATGTGTGTGTATGCGTGTGTATGTGTATGTATGTGTGTGTTTGTGTGTGTGTGTGTGAGTGTGTATGTGTGTGTGTATGTGTGACGTGTGTATGTATCTGTGTATGTGTGTGTGTGTGTGCGTGTGTGGGTGTATGTGTGTATGTATGTGTGTATGTGAGTGTATGTGCACACACGTATGAGTGTGCGTGTGTTTGTATGTGTGTGTGTATGTGTGTGTGTATGTGTAAGTATGTGTATGTGTGTGTATGTAAGTGAATGTGTGTGTATGTGTGTATGTGTATGTATGTGTGTCTGTGTATGTGTATGTATGTATGTATGTATGTATGTATGTATGTATGTATGTATGTATGTATGTATGTATGTATGTATGTATGTATGTATGTATGTATAGTATGTG